TTCAGAGTTTGAATGCTTGTTGAGTATTTGTATGCTTTTCTGTATGTGGATTTGTATGAATAAATGCGCATTTGACATTTTTGGTTTAAAAAAGATCCTCTTTCTATAATCGCTCTGCTTGGTGAAGGGGGAAAATGAAAAGTTAAAAATGGCGATCATGGATAACCTCATCGGACGGCGTCATACTAGGAGAAAGTGGACCGCATCTTGAAACATGGATGCTTATGAATAATTCAAAAGAAATCATAAGGATAATCATTTGTTGTGTATGGTGATTTATTTTAATTGTTTATTTTAGCAAGTACAATCGAAAACACTGTTGGTGTTCTATTAGGAACATCGAATCATGCAAGTCATGGATCTAGCCTATGAAAAATAAGCCCAGACTAAAGTTATTTTCCCCTTTTGTTTCTCATCTTTTGTTTGTTGATGATACATTGTTATTTTGTTCAGCTGATGTGTATCATGCATCTCTTATTCTGCATATTCTTGACAGGTTTGGATCCTCTTCTGGCCAAACTGTTAATTTAAGGAAGTCTTCTGTATTTTTCTCTAAGAACACTCCAGATATTACCAAAGTGAGAATCTGCAACACTTTGAATGGCATCCAAAGTATGAGTTCTACTAAATATTTGGGACTTCCCCTTGGGATAGGTAGATCTAAGAGGGATACATTTAAGTATGTTTTTTATAGTGTCTTAGCTAGGATATATTGTTGGAAGAACAACTTCTTGTCTTCTGTTGGGAGGGAAATCTTGATAAAATCAGTTTTACAGGCTCTTCCTATATATGCTATGTCATGCTTTAAATTACCTGTTAGTATGTGCAAAGACATTTGTAGAGAAGTGGCCAAATTTTGGTGGGGCAAAACAGACCAGGGGGCAATAGAATTCATTGGGCTAGTTGGGATTTATTGAGTAAGCCTAAATCTTGTGGGGGTTTGGGGTTCAGGAATCTGATAATTTTCAATGAGGCTCTTCTGGTAAAGCAGTTATGGAGAATTATAACTCACTCTAACTTGCTCTTAAGTAGAGTCCTCAGAGGCAAATACTTCCACAATACCCATGTATTTCACATTAAGCCCAAGAATGGTGATTCCTGGCTGTGGAAAAGCTGGGTTGGGGTTATAAGTCGGGTGAAGTTAGGAGCTAGGTATCAAGTAGGGGATGGTCATTCTATTTCCATTTGGGAGCACCCTTGGCTTCCCAGGATATACAATCCTTCCCCTACCTGCTGTTACACAAGGGACAGAGCCAGATTGTCTAAAGTGAGTGATCTTATGGTTGAGGGAGGATGAGAGTGGGACAGGGATTTGATTAGGTAAACTTTTACACCTGATGAGGCTGAGGTCATTTTAAAGATTCCTATTTCTAGGATAGGTAAAAGGGATAAGTTAGTTTGGTTGTTTGGGAAATATGGGAAGTTTGATGTGAAATCTGCCTATAGTACTTTTTTATCTGAGATAAGAAGAAACAGGGATGAGTCTACTTCTAATGGAGGCATTAACATGGTGCAGCCATGGTGGAGACTCACCTGGAATCTTCCTATTAAAAACAAAATCAAGCACTTCCTATGGAAATGTTAGTACAGATTTTTTAGCACAAATGATCAGTTGTTGAGGAGGAAAATGGCAGTGGATGTTATTTGTAGGCATTGTGGGGTTGAAGTGGAAGAACTAGACCATGTCCTGTTTACATGTGATAGAGCTAGAATAGTGTGGAAACTTAGTGGTGTAAACTGGAATATTTTGGAAACTTCAAATCCCACATTTAGATGTTGGTGGAGTGAAGTGTGTAGTGTTGTTCAAACACATATCCTCAAAGATAGAATTAGTCTATCTTCTTACATTCTTTGGTGGCTATGGAAAACAAGAAATTTGTGGGTTTTTCAAGAAAAGAAAATGAGTGAATGGCAGGTGGCAGAAGGAGCTAGATCAGAGTGGCTGGAATTTGGCAACTTTCATTGTCAGGTAAGGAGCATCACCAGAGGGACAGAGCAGCAACCCAATGATTCTAAGGAGCAAGTTTTCCAGAAGGTAGGACAATGGTGTCTAACTGTCAGTGCCTTGAGCTCCTCCATGAATCAATTAGAGATATCTTGCCTTGCTGATACTGAAGGTTCAGAAGCCAAGCTACTGACTACTAATATTTGGTATGGGGGTTGCAAGAAGGAGCACAACTGGAAGCCATCAGATGGGCTATGTTACAAGCTATTCAGGCAGGTTGGCAGGACTGTTGTTGTAAATTGAATGACAAAAACCTAGTTCTTGAGCTGAGGAAAAAACTAGCTCATTTTGATTCTTGTTGTTGCTCTATTGCTGAGGATGTAATCTCTCTTTTAGACTCTTTTGTAGGCTTTTTCTTTTGTAGCTAGTAGCTAATGTATTTCCAGGAGGTTGATATTTGTTGTAAGGGGTAAGACTTGTTCATTACCCCTGGGTTGTATGCACTCATTTGGGTGCTCGGTTGTACATTTTCAGTGGTTTGAATATATTGATTGTCGTTGGAAAAAAAAAGTTAAGATTGAACACTTACGACTTAAAAGTTTGCAGGTTTTGTACAGACTTACACGACCTACGGGGCCGTACGAATGGTTCTGAGAGATCTTCTCGTCATGTCCTTCACGTCTCGTCTTATGTTCGTCTGTCGTCGGGGAATGCATGCGGATCATCGGGATACTCAGGTCACCGGTTGCGTCGCATGTGCACGGGGACGCGATCACTGTGTGCGTCTCCGTGAGCTATGTGCGTCTCATTGGCATTGTGCGGCATATGTGCTCGCACTGGGTTGCTCGCTAACGGATGCGGACTGGGCGATGCGATGCATGCTCGTGCGTCGTGGTGCTCGGCGGCTCCATGCGTGCGTCGCGCTGGGCTCGACGAATGGGGCTCGATGCTTGACAGTAGTGCATGAGTACAACGTACGTCTCGGGGTTGTCTCGGGTGATCTCGAGACTTTTACAATGTTACCTTACACGACTTTGCACGTCTTGGTGGGCGACAGATCAAAGCTCTCTCGATTGGCATTCTAGAGTTCTATGCGTGTGGTGTTCTGAAATCTCTAAAATCCCAAGAGTGGTTGTGTATTTATAGGCTACAACAGAGATCCTAATGAGGTGCCAAATATGGACTTCCCAAGTATGGCCTAATTGTGGGTTAAGCCCGCTATGCTCATAATTGAACGATACTTCAATCCACTAAAGAAATATCGCTGATCTCCCCATTTGGCTTTCAAACTACATTTGAGGCTCCGAGAATAATTACCGATTTATCTCCTCGTGTTTAAGATATAATATTCGTCAATTAATTTAATTATTGATAATATAATTAATTGAATTCTTGTGTCGAGACTAGTACTACTCAATTCTTTATTATTATGTCGGAACTTAATTCACCTACAGGATTTACCATACATCTTCAAATTATCGCACACGGTGACTATAAATATTCAAACAGCACACCATACACACATCACTACCCAAAACACATCAGCCTATTGATTCAGCAGAATGAGTCTCACTTTTTAGTGAATCAAAGTATATTGTATGCATGTGCCTGTTTAGATCTTACGGGTTAAGAGTAAGTAGTAAGTAACCGAGGTCTAGTTTGTTTACTCAATCAGTATAAAACAAACTTATCCTCTCTCGGATCCATTCAGCACAGTCAGCATACCATTGCAACCAATCAGTCAAGATAGACTGTACAATTGACATTACAATCGTTCATGATGGGTCGTTCATTTTCATCTAGGTTGTGAACTATATTATTTATGTTTTACAAGTAACCAATATGTGATATTTTATTCATATGTGATGAACCATAATATCTAAATGTAAAACACCAGAACTTAACACAGTTTAATTACGCAAAAAGCCAAACTTTAAGTATACACATTACCAAACATTTTGCACCAATCAACTCTAGCTACTGGAAATCTACGTCGTTCAGTTATGGAGGATGACACCCTGATCTGAACCTGTCGACCAAACACTCGTTTACGATTTACAAACAGCAGATTACCTCAACTTGTTATGTGCACTCGGTTATAACCAAACACATAAGTTTTCTGGAACAAATCATTCAGTTGCCCAAAGCCGAATATTAGAGTCATCGACTTCAACTACCCCTCGATCACAATTCCCAACCTCAAGTGAAGGTTAAAAATACAGGTCAATCGCGCACTTACAAAGCCTTTGTTTGTAGCCCAAAAAGAATATCAGTACAAATCGAGGCGGATAAGTTGGAATTTAATTCGGTTGGAGAGGAGAAAGGATTCATCATTTAAATACAGTCTGGAAAATATGGTGGTAGCATAGATAATGTATTTGGGTTTAACATGCACAGAGATTATGTATTTGGGTTGAACAGCTGAAGTTGAGGATGGTCCAATCCACCAGGTTTTCAATCATGCCCTGAATAATGGCATTGCTTTTGGATTTCGTCGATGGTTAGTTGTTCTGCAACGCCAATGTAAGAGGCTTGCAAGCCTGAGGCCCTGAATATAACTATCTTAGAGGTACTTTTTGTCTTGGAGGCATATCACATAACTTAGAATTATTATTCAATTGCTCATATGTTGCCTTATATGTTAAACTTGCAGCGATCCCTTCACCTCAAGCGGAAAGAATCTGATAAATTTGGCTCAGAGGATGATTCAGACATTTTGTGTGAACATAAGCACATGTTACGGGCCATCTTGGACTCTCTGACTTTGCCGACGACACTGTTCGAATAAACACTTGAAAGGTGACTAAGGCAGGCCAGCCTAACGGTGAGAACATCCCCTTCTGATCCCACTTATGAAAATTCCGTGAGAACATCCCCCTTCTGATCCCCATCGAACTACAATGTCAGTGGGGCATCAATTTTCTTTCCTATTTGGAGTTCACTGATTTAAATTTAAAAATATTATTGTGGATGAATTGGAATGCTTCGAGGAAAATATCCTTTTCTTCTTGATTGTAACAAGTGCTATATTTGTCATTTTCGTGAATATCGTGAAATTTAATCTTGTGTAATAAATGCATGTCTATTTAAATAAAAACTCGTCCTATCTTGTAAACAATATATAAAAATCCAACTTAAACAGTAACCTTGATTAATCAGTCAAATCCCAAATATCCCCAAGTACACAAATCTCCATGAACAACACAGCAAAGATAGTATAGGGTCCACCATAAATAACACAATAGAGTAATATTTTGAATCCAGCAAAGCATTATCCAGTTATAAGATAGATGCATCAGAACATACAGCCAAGGTACTCATTGCATCGCAAAAGCTTCATATCTGCAGACTCAGTTCATGGGCTTACGGACCTTGCCTGCAATGAAAAGCATAATTTTCATCAGCAAATTTAGTCGCAGCTTACATCCTCTGAAATTATTTCGATTTTAAGAAATAAGATGAAGTGTTTTCAAAACACAAATTACTGAACTTTTTTGAAACGTTAATAAAGACATCAAAACTAAATAAATCTTTTCTTTAAACCAAGAAAAAAGCTAGAATCACCTCACTTTATACACAAATATTAAAAGATTTTCCTTCATATCTTATAAGCTCTTTCGACAAAAATTTAGAAAAAGTGCAGATAATACGTGTAAAGCTCTCAAGAGTATATAAGAGAGCTAATTTTGAAATGAAAAACTCAAGAGCAGCAACAGCACAGGTTAGTCTATGAAATGTCGTTAACCAATTGTTCTGCATGGGCTTTTACCTCACGAGGAGATGCAGACTTTGATTTTGACTTTGACCTTGACCTAGACCTTGACCTGGAGTTTCGTAGCAGAGAAATTGTTAAAACGATTGAATATTGATTTACATCATGAATAAATTAAGGAAAAATATTTACCTGGATGCCTTAACAGGAGATGCAGATGGTGACCTCGAAACAGACCGCTCTAGGGACCTGCTGCCAAATTAACAAATTAATTTTCCATGTATGGTTCCAAATACCAGCGACATATATATATATATATGTTCTACAAAAACTGAGTTTGACCTACTTACAAAAAGTTATCATTCAAAAGTAGTATTCAGTCATTCACAGGTATCCCTTTCCTTAAACCAGAATAACTACCAAGGTACTTGAAATTTCTAAATAAACGAGGTTTGTCAGTAAGTGTGCTGAAGCTCAAGGGTATCTGTGTAAATAAAAGACGTTAGACGAGTATGACTCGACAATACCTTCTCCTTCTGGGACTTCTGCTTCTACTGAGACTCCTACTTCGGCTTCTCGATGGAGTGCCCTTGAATTCCTTTACCTAAATTCACAAAACAAAAATGGAAACTAGAATAATTTTTTTAAAGGATCATGGTTCAGAGAGAAATCACTGAATTTCTCATATAGCAACGAATACGGAGACCATCAAGATACTTTTGCAGTAACAAGAATAATATAGGTACAAAGGATAGAACATTACCCGGATATAAGTTCTGGTCCAAGGATTTCTGAACTCGCTATCATCAAGCTTACGGATCTGGTCAAATCATGTATCCATTAGCAATATCTACAACTGACAGTACAAACATCATAAGCTAAAAAAAGTGTTCAGCAAAAATAGGAAACCCACAGCATATTTCATGTCCTCATAATTGGTATAATCGACAAGGCCATAGGTTCCTGCATTTGACAAGAATAAGTTAAGAAGCCAACTTAGGCAGCTTATAAACATAATTAGCCACAAATATCTTCATGCATTTTACAACTAATTATCAAGAAAGAGCGCTCAAAAATGCATTGTGGCAGAGAGTTCAGAAAAAAACCTTCACTGTCACGTGAAACTTCAGCAAAGCAGACATCCCCAGCTTTTCGCATATGATCCTAAAATATTTTTGAGCGGTGACAAACCAGTCAAACAGAAAAAGGACAGACAATTCACATACATTATAGTCCGCACAACCAACCTTCAGGTCCTGCCAAGAAGCAGAGGACGGAAGTCCACGAACAATAACTACACANTAAAAAATAAAATAAACAAGAGTACTTAAATGCAAACAAATTGGAAAGATCCATCGGTAAACTAGGTGCACCTCGATATTCAGAATGACGGGAAGCACCATATCGGCCACCACCACCACTGCCACTGCCACTGCCACTTCCATAGCCACTACGACGATCACTGGACGAAGATGGACCCCTGCCACCATGTGCAAGTTCAACCTAGATTCAGTAGCAAACCATTAAAAACCAGAAACAGTAGAAGCTAAAAAGATAAGTTATAAAACAAAGGATACGATAGAGGGCATAATATTCAAATTTCTTTTAATTATACTCACCCTCAATCTGCAACCATCGAAGTTATGGCCATCTCTACCTATGATGGCATCGTCTGCATCCCGTGGACTTTCGAACTACAAATTAAAAATAAAACTATTAGTAAGAAAACTTATTAAATCCTAACTTAACAAGGATCAGAAGAAAACAAGTACTGGTGTCCATCCATACATACAAAATCACAATACAACCGTCCAAAAGTAATAACTGTAGATAAGCCCTGATGGTAGAAGTTAAATTACCTCCACAAAACAATAGCAGGGTGGGCGAGGAGGAACCTTCAATTCAATATCCATAATACGGCCATACTGCAAAGGAAGAATGGATATTATTAAAATGTGAAGCTTATTCAAACTATCAGAGAGAAAAACGCATGTGATGATCAATCTGAAAACTCAGTGACAAAATGACAATAATACCAACTGGTTATAGGGAAATAAATGGTCAATGTTTCCACAAGAATTTTTCTAGATCATAGCCTATAAACCATTTATAGTACTAAATCCTAACAACCAATACAACGAAATTCAGAAAAATTTAAAACTTCAAAAATTAAAAGATGCAAGAAAGAAAAGAAAGAAAGGCAAACTATAAGCAAGAACCAAAGAGCAATATAAAAACATCCAATAATTATATAGAAAAAATGAATTTCAAGAACATTTAATGAATCGGGATATAATTTTACGATATAAATGTAGTAAGATGTTTTCCAGTGTGAAGGTTGAGAAGAAAAAAGATTTAGACAAGTTCTTATCAGCTATGCACAATAAAAAAAATCACCTAAAGATTAAGCCAACTGTTAGAATGTTCTAAATAATGGTGTAGCATTAAGTCCAAGCAAAACAAAACAAAGTAAAAGAATGAATGTTTGTTCTAGTTGGTGTAGTAAACAAAGATTGCTGCAACCAAACCAAAGCAGACATGATAGATAAGATAATCATGCAATCCAAACCTTGTAAAATAAATCTTCAATCTCATGCTTTTTAATATCAGCTGGAAGGTTCCCAACATAGATTGTCCGAGAAAAACGAGCACTCATTTTGTCTTTGAGGAAGAAGTTAGCAGTAGGAGCTGCAAAGCAAAAATATATATCAATGTGAAACCAGATTACAGAAGTGAACAACACCAGCTAATAATCCTGAAGATTTCCTGCCACCATCTGAGTAATACAACGAGGAAAAAGAAAACAAATAAAAAACTTATGAAGCAAACCAAGAGAGCAATCCTTGAGGCAAGCGGTGCTCCATAAGCTCCATTGCTCATGTGCTCCAAGATACTCCAAAGCTATAAATTATTTGAATTAAAATATGATGTCCTCATCCACTCTAAAATTTTGCCAGATGAATAGCTCTTCAGAGAGCGAGCAAGAACTTCCATTTACATAAAAATACCAAAGACTCCACCCTGAATTCTCCCACTCCCATCCTACATCCCTATGTATGATTGCAAAGCTCATTTTTGTCCAAGCGCTTGACATCTATCATAAACAAAGATTTCATAAGACGAGGCCACATTGTCATATACTTATGTATTCACCTTATTCAGAGTTCTGTACAGTGAGAAAAAATTATCCTGCAATATACCATATCCTATTACTGATGTTCCCCCTTTCCCGACACAAACATATTTCTCTTAGGTATAGGAGTGTGCGTCTCTATATATACATATATACGGCAAAAATATTTAGCAAGAGGCGTCTTGACTGGCAAAGAGACTAAATGGTAAAACAAATAATGAATAGCTAATCACATAACAAATAGCCACTGCTGCAATCCTTTGGTGTGTGTTAGGTAGCAGGAGTTTATTGAATCGATAAGGCAATTCTGAATGCTTTCATATCTAACACCTATAGAGAAGAAACCAATGTTAATAGGGGCATTGTAAATTCCTTCAGGTCCGACTTCACCATACAACTACAGCAGTGATAACTGAATGTAAAAATGCATTTTCTGAATTATAATCTGAAAAAATCAACCCCAGCTCGGTTTCCACATTTAATCTGAAATTATTATATGCTTTACAGGCTTGTTGCCAATGAATTTAGTGTCTGATGAAAATGTATATATACTCATTCATATTATTAAAATGTTCAGGTGGAACTGTACTAATATTCTGATCAGGGTTTGAGAGTCGCTAGACTGCATTTCAAGAAAAGATACATTTTTTTGTTTGCAAAATGTAAAGAAAAATGTGATGTACAGTTTCAGGAAAATATGCATTTTCTTTTTGTTTGAGAAATGTTAAAAAAAATAAGTGATGTAATTTGGTACTGTGAAATGTTATCGCTGAAAAGACCAATTGCTTTTCATTTTCCTAACCAAAAAAAAACGCTGAAAAATGTTTCAGCTGAATAATTACTCAGAAAGGAATTCCAAAGCCCAAACTTCAATTGGGATAAAGAAACCCTAACACTCAAACCTAATCTTGTCCACAATTCAGAATAAAATCATACCAGGTCACGCGATCAGAAAAATAGCTAGGCACCTCTGAGCAAAAAAAATCAAATTCCTCAAGAAGAGAATCTTAACGACTAGTCGAGCTCCAAAAAGAGTTCTCCAGCATGAAATTGGATTCCGAAACTTGGTTGCGACCATAAAATAGTTAGCAAAATAATGATTTTAATGTGACTTAACTGATGGAAAGAGTTTAAGATTAGGGACCTGAAAATTTGATGTTGCAAGATGCGAATGCTTACCTCAGATGAAAACTTGCGCGGCGCCTTCACGTTCAGTTCAGCTACTAGCGTGCTTTAGGTCACAGGATCTGATCACTATATATTTCTTTTCTTTAATTGCTGAATGAATGCTTGGGGTTTCGCCAAATTACATATAGATCCCAATTTTAACAATCTATATCTATATCCCTTGGGCTCGTTTACTTTGATGGACAAGAAGGGATAAGTAAAATTATCCCCATTATCCCGTGTTTACATAATGGTATTGGGACAGGATTGGAATGATGTGGCGTCCATGTGGCTGGAATTCCACAAGCTAATCAATTATTTGTCGATAACTTTTGTCCCGCCCTCCCCATGGGATTTTTTAATCCCGAGCACGCGTGGACGGCTTTGCCCCACTTTTGCCTTTGAGAAGACTGCAATACCCCTAATTGTCGAGCTATTTACAATTATATCCTGTAAAATTAGAAATGCCCCATTTTTTGCCCTAGTTTTTGCAGCGGGATTTTACAGAGACATTGCGAGGTGCGAACATCGTCTTCTCCGTCCTTTATATCCTGTAAAATTAGAAATGCCCCATTTTTTGCCCTAGTTTTTGCAACGGGATTTTACAGAGACATTGCGAGGTGCGAACATCGTCTTCTCCGTCCTCAAGGCTTCCAGGTAATCTCGATTTTCCCTTTCACTGTTTGGTTCCGATAATGAAAAACGTAATCGTAGTACATAATGCTTTTGTGATAATCTGAGACATACGGATGTGCTTTGAGTTTGGTGTTCACTGATTCGAGCTTGGTCTGTTTTCCATATTCTCCACTTGGTTGAAAGTGTATTTTTTGAAATGGATTGAGGGTTTTGAAATGGATTCGAGATTGGTGTTCACTGATTCGAGAATGGTTTGGTTTTTCATATTCTGAACTGGTTTTCCATACTCTCGCTGCTTCTGAAATCTGTCCTTTTTTTTCATTTTCATGGTTTCTGTCCTCATCTTTGTTGATGCGTAGAGGAGTTCCTTGGGTAAAAGATTGTTGGGATGCTTCTGCTGCTGTTGTCGGGCGTGGCTTTCTTTCTGCTGAATTAGGGCAAGAAAAAGGAAAATAGACATGTAAAGGGGGAAAAGGAGGGTAAAGTGGTATTTTACTTGTGTATCATCTCAATTAATCAAATGAAGTAAATGAGGGATTCTTTTGTTAAAATTCTATCTCACAAAGGAAACAGCAGACTAAATGGTGAAGTGTAAAGGTGTCAGGATAATTTTGGTCTATCCCATCACTCAAAGTAAATGAGCCCCTTGTATATTAATTCAAAACGTGCTGAGACTAATGGCAGACTTGCATGTTGATCCTATGTGGCAAAATTACGTACTTCATTGTTAGACTTGAGTAGATTTTAATTTACTTCTAATCCAAAAAAATTAGTTATGGATTATCCATAAATATGTTGATTATTTATGTTCATGTTACATGTATTAATTGCATTTTAATATCATTTATTATTATAACCATTGAATTGTGAATGTAATTTAAAAGTTAAAAACTTTTGTATTTTTTATCAGTTTTACATATATAATATATCAAATTAATCATCTCATGATGAGCTTCGATTTAACATCCATATTGTATGGATAAGAAAATAAATTATATTTATCTTTATAACAATAATAAAACTATTTTTTAATATTAATTTAAAAAATAAAATTATTTATCAATTAATATATTTATATTTCAAATAGTTATATGATATAAGTTATAACATTACTATAATATAGCACATGTAAGTCACACAAGTAACAAATGTCGTTCTAAAATAAATATATATTTTTTTTAAAAAAAGTAAATATAATTTAAAATATTTTTCTCATTAATTTTAAAATTTAAGAATAATTTTTTAAGAAGCGCCCGTGTAATACACGAGTGTTGTACTAGTATATAATTGTTAGCAAATAAAATTATGACATCGGTTTTTGTCTATCACTTTTTTTCGGTTATATTTACATTAATCAATTAATTATATTTTTATTTATTTTATAACGTAATACCTAATACTAATTATCATAAAATTACATTAAATAATATTCTATTCTAAAACCTTTTGTCAAACTATTTATTAAAATTACTATTTCTCTTTTTAGCTCACTAAGCAACTTTTTTATTAAAATTAGTCAGTTATTTTATGACATAACCAAACCCCTTAAAATTTCATACACAATTGTTATAATAATAATTTAATATTTTTTTATCTAATTAATTTATTATCAGGGACGGATTTAGATATGGTCTCCCCAAGCCTTTTTTTTTTAACAACTATTAAGTTTGAGAAAAAAAATGTATTGTATTTCTAGCCATGCCCATAAACCAACCCACTAACCCATTAAAATAATTCACTTACTGATTTAAGTCCACATACTAGAAACAACACCATTCTAATAAAATATTATATATTTTTTATCCACTTTTTTCACTAGGCACAAACTCACAAAGTACCACTATACACCAAACTCCAATCAAATAAATTAGTCACGGCCATGCCCCTCCTCTAAACAATGGAACAATGAATTTAGAGGAACAAAAAAAAGCTATTCAGCAAAAAAGAGACTACTTTCAAGAAGACAAATTAATTTCTTCTTTAATAGTAAGTTATATTTTTAAACTCCCTATTAGATATTTGTGTGTGTAATTGTCTTTATCTATCTTCTCATTTTAGATGAGTTATTTGGATTTTAATAGTAACTGCTAGGATCATTCAGTTGCAATTTTTATTTTGTTGACTGTGTATGAAGTAGTAATTGTGTGTGTGTGTGTGTGTGAGTTTTTTTAATCTCTTATCCTCTAGTGTGGTTGTTGTACATCATATTTGAATTTAAATTTATGATGTGTAGTCATTTCATTTGTATTGTGAAATATTTAGAAATTCACATAAAGCACCAACATTCGGCTAAGAAAGGAAACATTCCATTGATATCATTGTTCTTTAGAAAACGAGATCGACGAGATCAGCGTCAAACTAGTGAAAGCACGTAAAATACGGTGCAAAATGAGCATAATGTATTTTCTTTGTAAAAGCTCGTCGATCACAACTTCAGGTAATATTTGAAGAAAAAATATTATTTGATTTTGTTGAAATGAGTTTTTAAAATTCTAGCCCAGTCTACTCTTGATTTCTAGATCCGTCCTTGTTTATTAAATCAATCAAGAGTGCAAAAAATACATTATTGCGATTAATATGTAAGTTAAATAGTTTATTTTTATATCGTTTATATTTTCTAATGAAAGAATATATAAAATGTGATATGCTCATTATCGAACTTATGATTTTAAAAATTATGTAAAAACAAATAGAATGTATAAATTTTTATTTGCACCTGCACATATCAATTATATGAATCTTGAAGAGCGGACTTATTCTCTCGACGGGGAGCGTTCCAATCAGTCGTTCATTCTCTCAGGGTTCATCTCTTCCTTGGGGTTAGCAGGGTTTTCATCCTCAATTCGTTTAGCTCTATCTCCCTTTTCTGGTTTCCCCTATATCTCTAATTGTGGGGATTTAGGGTTTCGATTCTAGATGGGGTCTCCAATTTGTATAAGGCATGATGAGGAACATGCTCAAAGATTAAAAGGATTATCTCTATCTAACAGAGAAAACACCTTCATTGACATCGCCCAAGATGACATTCGACTAAGTATCGAGGAATGTCCACGCAGTTTGTTCGGCAAGATCATTGGCGACAGAAAGGCAAGTTGGATTGGGTCAAACGAACAATGAGCGCGCCAGATTTGGAGATTGCGCCAGACGATGGAAGTAAAGGAACTAGGGCACAACTACTTTCATTTCATCTTTCAGAGCAAAGAGGACTCAGAAAAAAGTAGCCAAAGGAACAAATTGGGTCTTTGAAAATCAGTTTCTCATTCTGACCGAGTGACAGGAGGGCCTATCTATCAATCACAAAGCATTCCAAGAACTCAATATCTGATGCAGGTATTTAATGTTCCTTTGAATTGGCTTAGTGTTGAAGTGGGTTTTGTTGTAGCAAATTATTTTTATTTTACCGAGCATCGAATCGAATGATTCGTTCCCCGGGTTGATCTCTCGAGGAAGGCGGTTCGGAATTTAGAAGTGGTGTTGATAACACATAAAAGAAAAATAAATCCTAAACATTCTAATCAAAGATTGGTTTTTGATTATTACCTAATAAATAACATAAACATAAATCTACCTAGAAATATAAACGACACAAAAATAAAGAAGCTAGGGAATCGGGGATAATCGTCTCCGGTTCAACCTCACTTTCAATGAATGACAATTACTCGGTTAAAGGCCTCGACTCATATACTCATTTAACGATTTAACCATCATAGCATTACGCGGTAGACAAATAAAACATAAACGAGCAATAAAACGAAACAATCAACACATAGGCAACACGTCTCCGGATATGCCTACTCTTTAAGAGCCGAGTTCCACCGACTTCTCCCCTCTCGGTTTTGAAATCGATTAATTAGATTACAATGGTGATCAATCATTCAATCATTATGATTAGTCAAACTCTTAAAGATTGAGCTAATGACAATCAAATAAACGAGATTAAACCGGAACAATTACCCCCATCCCCTAGCAATTAATTTAGCTACTCATGGCAAGATAAACACAAGAATTCAATGCAACATAAGCATTCATTTCCATAATAAAATGAAAGGAACAACTTACTAATTAACTTGAGATCCAATGTCAATCCAAATTACCAAGAGTTTGCCAATATAAGCTCCTTACACAACAAGATTATGATGTTCTTCAAACCAACAAGAATACATCCAAAACTAAAACAAAATGTGAGAATGGAGAATGATGAAGAAGGAGAGAAGATGAGATAGATGGTGTGTGTAATGTCCAAGAATGGTCTTGGGAGCTTCAAGGAGACCAAGGAACATGTCTCCCCTTTGGAACCTCAAAAATCCCCCTCTTTGCAACACATTTCCGGATTGTATGGCACTAGTCACCATTTCCGAGCTCAAATATCTTCTTAAAAAAAAACTGGAAAATTAACTTCCCGCGGCCGCGACTTAGTCCCCCGCGGCCGCGACTTGGTGTTCCGCGGCCGCGACTTGGTCCCGCGGCCGCGGGATTTCGCTACTGTCCGCCCGGTTCTCCCTTTGCATTTTTGGTCCCGTTTTCGCCTCCTTGACCCGATTTTTGCCTCCTTGCACGAACACTAACTCTTTTCACCGAAAAGTCGATCGACCCCTTGAACCTACGCACCACGATACACAAGAAAAACACGGAAAAAGTGAAAAACAAGCGGGAAAACAAAACAAACAACGAGCAAACCAAAAACTAACGAAAACGGACTCACAATTAAAGAGAAATACCTAAGATGGGGGAAAATGAACATAAAATGTCTACGGAAAACATGACAGAAATGGAACGAACAACTCCCCCACACTAAGATCTTTGTTCGTCCCGAACAAAGAGAAACAAAAAGAAACGAAAAGAAAGAAAAATAGAACATCCGGCATGTACAAAGGTTCAAACAAAACTAGCATCAAATCGATCAATTAAGTCAAGTAGAATTCTGATGATCTCGAGAACATCTCTCAAGTGTTACTCGGCATTTTAACTGACAACCACTCAAGTACGGATATATGATCAATGTGCCTCACTCAAGTGTCTTGCAAATAACAAAGGAAAGGGTGCGCTCAAACTGGTCGCAATCAAATCAATCATATGCTTGCCTATCGTCTAATCTTACTCTAGAAACAATTTAATCATGAAAAAGTGAATCAAGAGGACTTTTTAGGGATATAATGTAGGCTCTTTGGATCGGGTAGGAATAATATAGGCCAAGTGACTAAATGTATATCAATTCAATCCATCACAAAACCGTAAACATACACCCTCCCGGTTGTCGCTCAACCGGTTTCTTCCACATCCTCAAAACTACAATTATCCACATTATTCATACCCTTTTTTTTTATGTGTGAAAACCTTTGGACAATTATTATCTAGGTTTAACCATCGGGTGGTCTACCTGAGTTTCCTAGACCGGTTTCCCGTACTCATTACTCAATGCCACTAAGTTAGTAGTCCGAGCACTTAGAGTATAATCCACATGGTTTCACCATTTTTTTTTTTTTTTTTTTTTTTAACTCACGTAATCATCCCTTCATCATTCCAACTCGCAACTCCACAACGTCATCATCACGGGGTTGTCAAAGAAAAATTACATAAAGGCTCAAAGGGGCGACTAGTGAGTATTATTCAATAAAAACAAACGGGAATAGAAAAACAAAGAATGCCTCTATCATATTCACCAATCACAACCAAATTGAACTATTTCAAATCAATCTCAAGGCAAGTTCTGACATCATAAAATCTCGACCAACATCACACAAATAGGCTCAAATCTCACAGGTATATATGAATGTCAGTCAAAATAACCAAGCAATCACCAAAATAAGTCATACAAGATCATCATCACAACGTCCCAAACTTAATCAAACGATCGTCAACAAGCCTTGCAATCCCTAAAGTACATGCTCGAAACACACAAGGACTCAATCTAAACTAGACAAATCACACAAACAAAGACAAGCAAAGCTCCCCCACACTAAAAACCAGACAATGTCCTCATTGTCGAATTCTTATAATGTGAGAGTGACAACACAATAATAAAAGAGAAAACAAATGAACGAACTGACTCAACATCCACGAAAAACAAAATAAAAGAGAAAAAGGGAAAGAAAAACGTACAAAGCATAGTGACAAGTCACTATGCATGTGGTGGCGACGGAGTGGGGTAGTTGTAGCGGTCCGGCCCCTGATGGGTGTCCCACTGGGTGAACATACGATCCTAGCTATCCATACGAGCATCCTGCTGGTCTTGCCGCTCGCGAATGGATCGAAGGCCACCGTCTATATCATCGAAGCGCGTGCTCGCCTGGGTCCAGTGGGTGTGCTGCTGAGTCTGCCACTGGTCCCACTGAGCCTGCCGACGACTCTCAAAAGTGGCAAACCGACTGTCCTGGGCATCGAATCTGTCGTGGATGGAACGAATGTCGGCCCTGTACTCGGTCTGGAAGGACGTCCACCATGCCGGAGGGTGCGATGGAGGCATCTCATGCTGAGGGTCCTGAACTGGGGTCCACCGGGGTGGAGCCGGTAGGAGGTGGTCGTCATCCACAAGCATCCTCTCATGCTCGTCTGTCTCAGTCGGCTGGCGGGATGATCCTGGCTGATCGGTAGTGGGGGCACTTTGCCCAAGCCTCGTGAAGTAGGTCTTATAGGCATGACGACTCGTATATGGCTGAACTGTGGTTCGGGTCTTGATGAGATCGGCATTTTTTAGCTCGGCGAAGTTGATACACCGCATCGTAGTCTTGTCCTCGTGATATATGGCGTCGTGAAAATTGTAGGGCTCAGGGTCGACTCCGAAGTGCCGGGCGAGTGCGGTAATAAAGTGTCCCAATGCCGGTACCCCACGTCGATTGAGTGCCACGTCCTCTAAAGAGTTCTAGAGGAAAGTCATGGAGCATACTCGCACTCCCGCCCGCATCGCCCATAGGAGGAAAAGGTCGGTCTCGCTGACCTTATTCGCTTCCTTCTTCCCGGTAATATTGTAGCCGATGAACCGGTGCACCACAGCCGTAGCCAAGTCTTGGATGAGCCCGTTCGACATCCCGCCGGAATCCCATTTCGTATGCGGTGAAAGCTCGGCCCAACTCTTCTTAGCATCGAATTCTGGGGCCTTGTTACGTGTACCGGCCAAGGTAAAACCGCACACCTTCTTCATGACGTCATCGTCTACAGTGTACTCCCTCCCTTTGAGCCGACAAGTAAAGAACTCGTTCCCATCGACGAGAACAAAGGAGCTGAAAAATTCGAGCATAAGGCTACGGAATGATGGCTCCTCGATCTTGGCGTACTCGGTGAGGTTAAGGACCTTGAGATACTTCGTCACGTCCTCCAGAATACCCAAGTCGTTCAAGAGGTGTTTGAGGGTGTTTAAACAAGAAATGGTATGATATTTGAGGGTGTTTAAACAAGAAATCTCGACTTAGGCATGCTTCCTACTCAAATTTCATTTTTAAGGTCATTTATTTCAAAAATTCGTAACTCACATATAATGACATGCATGGCTCAGTTTTTCTTCATGAAAAATCTTAAAATGTCATAAAATAATTTATGAAGTCATTGGTCATGAGCTTACCTCGGCTAGAATTGGAAAAATGGTGCTAGGGCTCGAAATGGCTTGGTACGGCTTTGAATGATTTATCTCGAGTTGGTGTGTGATTTGGCCGAGCCTTTTGAACTCCCAAGACTTAGAAAAATCTAAGGAATGCTTAGTTACTGCTAAGCCTCGAGAGAAAATGGCTGGAACACGAGGTGGCTGCCTTCTCTCCTTCCCCGGGGCGCGCGCGCGGGCAGCAGGGCTGGTAGCTTTGCTCTCGGTTTTCTCCTCCCTCCTCACTATTTTTCTCGAGCTCCAAATTGTGTAAGAGCTTAAAATGGACTAAGGGAGGGTTCTTAAATAGGTGTTGAGGGCGGAGCTTACTATGTTGGTCAAGGGAGCCAAATTAAGTGGATTTAACCACATCACATGCATGGGGACTTGGGGAGGAAAAGAGCACGACTTTGGGTGGACTTCTGGTGCATTTTCAGAGCATAATGGGCAGGGAATAAGTGTGGGATAGTGCTCTGGTCGTTGGTCCAAGACAAAGGGGACAATCTCTTACATAAGTGAATAAAATAATAGTGTGCCCATGCTCCACTTTGGGCTAATGATGGTTGACTTAGGCTAAACTTGCTTAGGGCCAATTTAGCTTAACATAACCCTTATTAAGTCCCTAACATTCGCCACTAATGGTACATGAAAGAAGTGGGCCGGACCTCCTCCATTTGGGCTCAAAATGGTGGGCTGGCAGTGCTGCCGCTGGGCTGCTGGGGCGCGGCACTAGGCCTGGGCGCGAGGGGCTGCTGGGCTGCGCGGGGACGTGCTGGGCTGGCGCGGGTAGTGGGCTGCGCGCGGGAAAAAGGGCTGCTCCCGTGTGGTGGTCTTGGGCCGAGTCCTAAGGCACTCCAAGGGTCCAAGAACACTTAGAATAATTTTACCAACTTATGCCAAGGTCATGGCATGGCCTAGGACAAGGCTCGGGTGGCCTCGGGCGCGAAATGGCTCGGGGCTCGGTTATGCTATAAGAGTTCGATTTACATGATCAAGACTTGACTTTGGTATTATTATACACTTAGAAAAATATTCTAAGTATAAAAATACCAATACTTGACTATGCTCGGGATTTACCCGAAAATTAACTCGGAACCAAACTAGGGTTCAGAGTCGATCAATTCTCGAATTGACTTGTTATTATTTACCAACCCAAATTAATGGATTAATCTTAACTTATACTTGAGATAGAATTATTCAAAGAATAATTTATCATGGTTGAGCATTTAGCATAAATAATATAACTCGAATAATTTCTGAAATTACGGATTTCACTTATAGTCGAGCAGTGAAACCGTTCTTATTCTTATTACTGTTTTGGGGCGTTACACTAGAACATCGATATTCCTCCTGCTCAAGCTCGCAAACTTGTACCTGCCAAGAAAAACACAGAACTCCAAAACTCCCATTATTAAAAGATAAAATGAAAGAGCATAAAGATAAATATCTAGAAAGCAGTAAATCGCTTGGGTTGCCTCCTAAGAAGCACTTGTTTAACGTCATTAGCTTGACGAAACCTGTGTACACCTCAACCAGAGTCCAGAAAGAAGTGACGATCGTGCCATGTCTTCGTATTTTCCAGAAGTGGTAGCATGGGAAGATTGGCGAAAAGGCTGGCACGGTGGATCCGGGTGGCTATGTTCTTGATAAGACGGTCTAGGGTATGAGCAATCCACAATTCTATACGCAGAGCTTGTCCCACCCGAGCTCTGTTGTCAATCTCCAGAAATATAAGCTCATCTGTGGAGAAAGTCGAACTGAATCTCACCCAATTCGTAACACAGTGCAACGGGCTGGAAGACGGATGCTCCAACTCAGAGGTGGGAGGAGGGACTTGGGAATCAAGCCCATGGATCTCCTCCTCGGAAATAACATCAACGTCTTGCTGGATCTCATCTTCTTCTTTTTCAGCCTCACACATTTGCTTCATCACACGGGCTTGAGTATCAAGCATGAGGTGGGGACCGTTGACTTGTGCCTCCATTAAGTAAATATGTGCTGTAAGGATCTCCATTTGTGTACTCAATCGAGCACATCCGAGCTCAATCTCCACATCTCAAGTGGTTGGGCAGATATGCGAGCAAGGATGAGGTCGAGCTTTTCATCGTATGTCAAAGCAGCCTCCTGAGGTTCATTCCTATGTGTAGATTCACCTTGAGCAGTGGGCTCAGGAGTGACATTGTTAACTCGATCCTCTAATGCTTGCACGCGCTCCACAAGGTTCTCGATTCTGGACTCAATATTGCTCCTACGGGCCGCTTGGGAGGCTAAAAGAGAGAGGGCCTGGTCGAGCTTGGCATTGTACTCTGAGGAGTCCTCGAGGGACTCACATGACTGCTCAACAGGTATAGACTCCCATTGCTGCTCGTAAGGATATGACCAAGTCTGGCCATAGTCCCAAGAATCGTGGTATGGAGGTGACTGATGTAGACGGGCACACTGGGAAGCGGTCTCTTCTTCATGAGCTAACCGGGATGTCGCAAATTCATAGATACGGTCGAGCTTCTCGTTGAACTCGTGGGGCTCATAATGTTGCTCGACCAAAAAGGGGTCCCAGTACTGCTTGGAAGAGTATGGATAAGACTGGACGTGGTACCCGGTGTGATAGCTCAGCTCGTTAACCCAAGATTGGATGTGCGGTAAGGGGAAAGCGCGGTTGAAGTTCATATCTCTCGTTTCTGAAATGGTATTGTGGGCTGAAAACGTACACCCGTAGCAAAAGTTATGGCCAAAACATTTTTCACCGACGAAATCGCCATCGGTAGACGCTGAACCCTAGCCCCCGCCTCCAAATCGCCCATCTTCATCGTGTTCGTCCTCACAGCAACAAATTACAGTATAATACAAACACAACAGCCGTATTACAATCTACAAAATCGCCTACACTACCCACGCTTATTATCTGGTGGGAAAAATGATTACAACAATACACAAGGGCTGCGATAGACACTCAAACTGAGGCATAATCGAAATAAATACATCCATACCATAAACATGACTGAAAACGAATACACGAAATCAATTACATGTTTCAAGCAGAGCCGATAATCCACGAAACCGCGGCTCTGATACCAATTGCTGGAACACGCCGACGAATACCAAACATGTACATACATGATTTCGAATAACCCTAGGCATGCTCCTAAAGGATGAACAGAGAATTTACCTTTCTACGAGGCTTTGATTCGATCTGAGCGATCTTCTAGTCTGTGTCAAGACCACGTTTGGACGCCGGATGGACGGCGATCTACCAAACGGTTGAAAAGAGCAGATTGCGTCTCGTCTTCTTTGAACCCTTCACGTCACTTCTCCACGATGGTGGCTGAAGAATGTCACGTTATGTGATAATGCATAGGGTTAAAGACGTGCAATCCCTCCTTTTATAGAGGTCCTTGGACCAGCCTAGGGATCTCTTAGAATGTATAGGGTTTCGGCTTCCTAAGGGCCCAAATTCTTATGTTCAGCCCAGAACAAAATTTGTCCCGTAAATATTAATTCATTCCACTAGAGAATTAATATTGCACTCCTGTCCTATCCCAAAATGGACACGGTTCCCTAATGCTAATAAATAGATATCATGCAGACAATGGATGTCCAGGACACGGTTCCCTAATGCTAATAAATAGATATCATGCAGACAATACTTTTACCCTAGATACGGAGCATATTGAACCAATACTTGGTTCTCACCCATGGTAAATCAAAGTAACAAACAAATATCCCACATATCTAAGTATCCCAATTAGAGTTAAGAATTAGTAGATGTAACGCCCCACTTTATTTTAAAAGATTTACCGTTTTTATTTAATAAAAATCACTATAAATTTTTTCGCAAATCTCAATTTAATTAAAAACTTAGTGGGCGCTACTTATTTAACCAAAAACTTTTATCTGAAAATGCCAAAACATCAGATACAGACAGCATGCACGAATAATAAGTCATAACCAAACTAGCATTCATTAAGTTCCCACTTATCAAAAGATAATTCATGGTTCTCGAGTTTAAACGACATAATCAAAATATCCCAATTTCAACATAAGTTCATAAAATGAGGGGAAGCAAATAAATAAGTGATAAATAAGAGCGAGACCACCACCCGTCTTGTCTCGTCACCCGCCGACTGCTTAACCTGCATCGTGAAGAGCAGGTGGGAGTGAGTACAGTTAACTATCGTACTCACACTATGCATATGAATAACAAATTAATGGTATGGTCGCAGCATGAACATAAACAATAAAATCATGTCACATCTCTAGCCACATCAATGACTATAGTCTCATCAAAGACTCACTCATGTACATCTATGCTCATCAAAGCTAAGCCATGCCATATCAGTGAAACATGGGAGTGCGTGCCACATCAATGACACGGCCTTCTCATAGGTCTTAATGAGATTTACCTCATTAGGTAACCGTATCTTATCATACGGGGACAACCGTACCGACGGCCATCAAGCTCACATCGATAGGCTACATGCTCATTTTCATACATTGATCACACCAAATTTTCATCACAATTAAAATCACACATATGCATAGATAATTTTGGAATAACAACCCACCTGGATTCGGACTGTCGACAGAAATTTCAGAAAAGATGTAGGTTGAGGCTTGACTCCTCAAACACCTACATTATGTCAAGATCCTAAAATCAATATCTTGACTTAATCGGAAACCACAAAACAGACCTAGTCGAACTTGTTTCGACTAAGTAGTTC